GCCGGACAAGGCTCGCTCTCCCGAAAAACCAGCGACCCCCGAAAAGCCTCGCACTCCAGAGAAGCCGGTGACCCCAGAGAAGCCGCGTTCTCCGGAGAAGCCGGCCTCCCCGGTGAAAGACGAAAAGGCGGTGGTGGAGGAGACCATCACAGTCACAAAGGTAACCAAAATTAGTGCTGAGGTAGAGAAGGAGGCCAGGAAAGAAGACATTGCAGTGAATGGTGAGGTGGAGGAGAAGAAGGACGAGGGATCCAAAGAGAAGGAGGTTGAGGAGGAAGACAAGGGAGTTGTCACCAATGGCCTAGATGTGAGCCCAACTGATGATAAGGGTGAGAAAATTGTAGTAACCAAAAAAGCAGAGAAAATCACTGGTGAAGGTGGGGACAGTACAACCACGTATATCACAAAGTCGGTGACGGTCACTCAGAAGGTAGAGGAACACGAAGAAAGCTTTGAGGAGAAACTAGTGTCCACCAAGAAAGTGGAGAAAGTTACTTCACATGCTGTAGTAAAAGAGATTAAAGAGACCGAATAAAATAAATCATAGCTAAATTAATAAAAAAATAAAAATTCAAGAGCTTGGGTCGGTGCAAAAGGTTAAGCCATATGACAGCTGCAAAATGCATGTGAGTGACGGCTTCAAAGCAGAACGGGTTCTCTCATGGAGGCTCCAGACACACAGTATTTTACTTTTTTGTGCAATATAGGGGAGGGGGGGGGAATGCATGCAGGCTCAAGATGTACTCCCTCCACAGAGCTTGGGGAACTAACAAAACAAAACAAAAAAATTAATACTAAATAATAGTGCATGAGATGAAATGTGCAAAGGAAGCTTCTGAATTTCCTGAGCTGTTGGAGGGGTATATCTGAGGAACGACTTTAAGATGTATTATGCAAAGAACCAACTGAGCCAAAAAAAACAAACAGAAAACAGTACTAGAATATTCATGAGAACCAGAACTCTCCTAGCCTTAAAAAAAAAAAGCTACTTATAAATAATTATGTTTACCTCACTGGTGCAATTAGGGTGGACTTTTGCTCATGGGAGAACCTAGTTGACATGCACAGTACGCAACCTTTTGTTGTTTGATGTAAAAGTCACAGCAGTTCTTGCTCAATAAAGGTCAATACTGAAAACATGCCTTGTCTGGTGACTTTTCTTTCCAATTCAAATCCTCCCCTAGAATTTGGTGCCCTGACAGGAGCGGAGTCGTGTGCAGTGAAAAGTTGCGTGAGTTTTTCCTCAGTGTCATTTAGAAAATGGGCTTGAATGGGATATGATGGATGGATTTCCTGTAATATAACACAAATACCTGGGCTGGTTTAAGTAAATACTTAAAAGCTGCATCCTGTGCTTTCTAAAGAGAAATTTATTGAGTTCTGCTGCCTTTAGGTGCTCAGAGAGGTTGGAGTTGCTTTTGCCGACAGCAGGAAGGTCTCTAAACCATGGGATGTGACTTACCCGAGCAATCCTGCTTGCACTGCGAGTGTAAGTGTTATTAAACTCTGCTGCAAGTATAATTTCCCCCCTATGCACTAGTCCTAACTTAAGGAGACCCTTATAAATGTAATTTCCAGATCATTCCTTGGTTTTCCTGTCTGTGAGCCACCACTGGTCGTGGTATCTTCTAGGATGCTCATTTGACACTTAAGTGTGCAAAGACCCATTAAGTGATCTCAACACATTTGATGTGTGCAGCAAAATGAGGTAGCTTCTGATTATTTTTTTCCCTTCCTGCCTTAATTATGTGGGAACATCCAAGTAATATTGTATCCAGAATTGATAAATGCTCAATGAGTGCAATCTGCCTCTAAACACAGAATTCCAAAATTGAGAGTAGATAAATTCCTAGAAAATGGAAACTGTCCTAGAGATTACCTGGCTATTGTGGATCAAAAAAATAGTCATTACTTGGTTTTTTTATGTATTTGTTCATTCAAAACCAGCTGTAGAAATGAGACTCTTCCAGTCTCTGAAATGAGGATAGGGAGAGCTCAGATTATTCCTATATATACCTGAGATAAACCCAGACTAAAGCCATTTTCCATTTCCAACAGAAAGGTCTTCCAAGCACTGGCCTGTGTCTACTTCTGCTTGCAGGCTGGCTTTAGAAAGAAGAAACCCAATTAAAGGGCCCTCTAAAATCCCACTACATGGAAAACACATGGAGACAAATGGAGTACAGGGAAAAAGAGAGCCCCAACTCCAATCTGGGGAATTAATGTCTTAAAATGGGGTTAATATTGCATTTCAAAAGGAAAGCAAAGAACACAGCTCCTGCCCTGACCAACCACAGCAAGCAAAGAAATGCAGATGGGTTCAGCACATGGATTGCCCTGAAATCTGTTGACTAATGGAGGGTCTGATCAAAATTGCTTTGATTTGCACGTGCCTTCCAATCCTTTATCAATAACTGAAGATCAAGTCGGTTTTAATTGAAAGGGTTCTGCCTGCTCTTCACTGGAGAAGCTGTAAAGAAGTCCATAGCCAATAATGCTTTCAAATAAATCTGCATGTCTTTGTTGTAGCGAAGTAATGAACGTTTCTCCTGCTGCTATCAATAATGGGAATCTGTGCTCAACAGCTTGCTGGTTGAGTGATGTTTAATTAAAGCAGAGTTAGGAAATTAAATGGCAGCTTCTCTGTAGTGAGCTTATTTGTGAGAGTTAAATGTGTATATGACATGAAAATACCTATACCTTTATGGATAAGAAGCTAAGTAGCCCAGGCACACTCAGTTATTATAAGTAAGTGTCTGCACCAAGTTATGTTAAAAATACAGAAATGCCCAATGGTTTGTGAGCACTGAAGTTACTTTTCTCTTGGGTTTAATCAAAATTTTCAGGAGAATGACACTAAAACCAAAAAGCTAAACCAGAGACAAGCATTTAACGTAAAATATTCTCTTTATGTGCTACTAGAATCTGCCAAAACGTCACAAACTGCAAAGCTGCCACCCCTCAGCACAGAAATTCGGGCATCCTAAGCACCAAGACGACGAGGGGTCACCTTGTAGAGTGAATTAACTGCTGATGTCGGTGGGAGGCTCAGGAACATGTTGTTAATGCAGTTATTACCCAGAGCTGCATTTGTTTCCTCTGCTCTAACACTCAAAATAAAGCTGTGAGTTTAGTGTATTTCCCACTGCAAATGTTTCCATCGAGTCCTAAGAGAAATAAGCAACTGGTTAACGCATTTCTAAATATTTATAAAACTGTAAGAACTGATTAATATTTAATGTTGCCAAGAGGTTTTTGTCTACTGACATCTGCAATCAAACACTTTCAAAAGATCGCGTAATTCCAGGGCAGAGCTGCATAAATTCTATGTTATTTGCCTGTTCTGCACCAATTACTTCTTCAGGCTCCGCATCACCAGTGAAGGGATTAATTACTTTCAGACACAGAAGTTCATTGATCAATAGGAAAGACTCCATGAAGGGAGAAACAATTACAATAAGTTACTGTGGAGGCTTATTCATCTTATTTAAGGTGGACCACCAAGACCCCCATGGCTTCAGGAGCTGGAGGGCTCTAAAATGGGATCCTTTTACCACAACGGGCTGTGGAGGAGCTGTGATTCAGAGGTTTTCAACATCCCAGAGCTAAATTCCAGGTGGGCACAACCTGGGGAGCGTTACAAAACACAAATAGGTTGTGTTTGCCAGGGAGCTGAGTCAGGCACCAGAATTTTCTCCAGGCATCAGGGTCTGTGCTTTTCCCACACACATGTGGGCTTTCTTCCTCCTCTACCCTTAACTAATCCAGGGAGGCAGCACATCATGAAGTGTCAATTATTTAGTCACCAGAAGGTAAATTCCTATAATCTGGATGTTATACCACTCAAGTTTTCCCTGTGCTGAGTGGGAGGGCAGTATGCGCATCTCAAGAAAAGCATCCAGGACCTCCTCGTATTTATCATCCCTGTGATGAGATCTCAGCCTGATCCAGACCCCCTGTGCCCAAACCAGCCAAGAAAATTTAGGGACAGACTCAGGGCTTTACTTGCAGCTGCAACTTGGGTTAAAGTTTCTATCGTGTCTCCCTCTGCCTGCTTTTACTGCATTGCGTCAAAGCGAGCTCCTCGATGCTCCAAGGTAAAACAAGTGCTGCCAGCATGATCCCCACAACCCTGAGAGCATCTTAGCACCAAACGTGCGTTTCCATCCTCCCTCCTACCAGTTTACCCCAGCAGCAAGGCAGGGCTGGGGGTAGCAAACTGGGCTGGATGGTCACTGCAGCTCCTCACTCCGCAGCTCAGTGCCATGGCTGTGACTCACACATTTCCTGCAGTCGGGGAAGTTCTCCTTTAGCTGCAATACATTAAAAATAACATAAGGAGCGGGGATCGGGCCGAGAGATGCTGCAAGGAGAAATGGGTTTGCTGGTGTAGCTCTAAATGTGCTGGTTTGAGAGCAGCCTGGTTGCAGAGATGTGGAGAGCTGTATTGCTTCCCAGGAGTGAAAGGGTTACAAAGGACTGAATAAAGGACTTCATCTGCAAAAAAAAGTCGTGAAAAAGAAAAGGAAAATCAGGTTTTGAAAAGTTAAAAGGAGCTCAGAGTGCTTGGAGAAAGGCAGGATGAGGCAGGGGGTTTAACATGCACCAATCTATTTCACAGGGGTTTGGCTTTAATGGCTGTGAGGAGTTTGATCTGGTGTAGGACCTCTCTCCCAGCTGAAGCGCCAAGCATCTCCTGGAGGTGCACGTGGCTGAATTTCCAACTGCCATCTCTTAAACTCAATGTTCTGCTGTGTTTGACCCGAGGGTATCACGTACCAAAAGGAGCCCAGCTCCTGCAAGCCCATCAGTAGCTTTTAAAAGCACTGAGCCTCTTGCCCATGGTACCCCCCACTGCTCACCACCGCTTTCCTGGAGATGGAAAACAAAATCTGCTTTGTAAGAATAAATCTGCATAAACATATGTAAAAAAAAAAATCTGTATTAAAAGCAGAAGGGAAACAGGAAGGAAAAAAATAAAAGACTTAAAAAGAGATGTTGTTGAAGAAAGGGAAAATTGAGTTACTTTTTTGCCTTCTGGCTCTCAAAAGCATCAAAAACCCCGAGAAAGTCAATGTGTGGGGAAATGAAGCATTTGGAAATAATACTGGAACTCCCTGAACAGGAGTTACATGAATTATTACATATGTACACAAGCTCTGCTTCCTGAATGGTTTTACCAAAGCTGCTTTTTCTTTCTCCTGCTGTTTTAACCTGGGAACATGGAAGGAAAGAATTGATTTAAGTGCTTACCTCATCCATCATCTTCTTTATAACTCTCTTAACACTGAGAAAGGAGACGCTTTTGGAACACGCCTAAAATTTCTATAAACAGGCATTTCCTTTCTCTCTGAAATGCAGTCATCAAGAAGAGCCCATGCAAATCAACTAAGAAATCAGTGTACAAAATTGAAAGTTACCCCAAAATCCTATGCAAAAATCCATCTAGCTAAACACGACTGTGAGAAGTTTCAGTGTAGCCATGCAATGCCTGTTTTAATGTAGGCTTCTGTAGGTTTAGTTTACTTAAAATGGTTTAATTTGCAGCATTACACCAGTCCTTAGCACAAAGTTTAATTATATGCATCAACTTTAGCTAATTGAAAATAAATAAATGACTACAGGATGCTGGCATTGCTTTCACAATTGTCATGTTTTGATGCTTTTTGTGCCTGATCTTTATCTGGCTCATACTCAAAAACCTTTAAACACGCCCCAATGACAGCTCAGTAGAGGATGAGCCTCTTCAGCCCACAGCACCCTGAGTAACGCTGTATTTTTATCATTGTAGTATTTCCACATGGAATTTTACAGCCCTATCATGAGATTTTTGCCCACCCATTTGTCCCCCAAGCACATCTAGAAGCACAAACCAGTATCCCATTACACAGGCTTGAAAGACGAGTGCGATACACCACTTTACCGACCTTTTAAGTGCATTAGTGACACACGACACACACAAGGAATCTGTGTAAGCATTTCTGTAACTTTATTGACTAGCTTTATTGCACATACTTATTGAAGCCTCCATTATTTTACCCACCCAAGGTTTCCATAATTATTTTAAATGCAGGTTAAAGGTAACTTTCATTCCCATGACTTATTTTTTTCCCCCCTTTTTAATTTTTAAGGTTCCAAACCACCCAAGAAAGACATAACCCCTGAATTCATACGTGTAGACCATGCGGCATTCAGGGAGCAAGCCAGTGGGTGCTCTGCAAGCATACTGATACTCTGCACAGAGAGAAACATCATAAATCATTAACTTTAAACCTCAGTGGTCACTGAATTAAATATGTGAACTGCAATTTTAGCTCAGTCAATCATTTATTCTGTTGACCTGATGAGAAAGCTGGACTGCCTAAAAATCAAGCCTTCTTCTTCACTTCACTCTCTTCCTTCCCTGCAGGTTCTTTCTCTTCCTTTTCCTCCTCACCAGTTTCCTCAGCAGTTTCCTGAGACTCCTCTCCTTCTTCAGCTGCTGTTTCTTCTTCCCCTTCTCCTTCCTCTTCCTCACCCTCTTTGGCTTCTTCCGATTCTTCCTTAGCACCTTTGAAAGGCAAAAAGAAATAGTTCACATCTATGCACTGTTTCTAATCCCAATTTAGCAGAAGCCAGGATACCTGCATCCTTCAACTACACACCTTTCATTATAATTAATCTTTCGACTAATAAACATGTAGAACAGTTCAACAGTAACCAATGCATTTCAGGTACATTTAGGTTAAATCCTTCAGAGCTATGGCAACTGAAGCTGGGAAAAGCAACTCTGGATAACACTCCTTCTGCATTTTCTTTAAAATGGGAGTTTGGTGAATAAATTATGGGGCAGCAAGGAAGCGATACATCCTTCGGTTGAACACAAGAACTACCTACACCTCAGGCAATCACTATCCCCTAAACCCAGCATTTACACCCACAGACATCAGCTCATGTTCTCATTATCACAGGCTACTCTCTGGGAATTAGTATTTAGCTCAGGGTGTTCTTGTTCCTACTTTTTTTAAGAGTGTCTGTAAGAGAATGTGCTGTTTGCTGCCATACGAACATAGCATTACATGCTGTTAAAGTATTCTTATTCTTGTTTTTGGAAACTTGAATGGGAACACACCTAGTGATTTCCAGAGGAGTGTAACCAGTCCTCTAATCTGCCTGATACTGAACATTTATCTTGTTTCCCATTCAGCATTTCCTGCTTTGATGCTGTGAGTTTAATACCACGATCCTTTGCTAGCATAAGTGGATAATGGGAGGCCTGATCAATGAGACTTAAGTCATGAGGATTTCTGGGTTCTACCTCACATAAGCAGGGTGAAGCATGAAAGAGATGGATTTGAAAGTCACTAAGTACCTTCTTCCTCCTCTTCTTCAGCCTCTTCACCTCCCGCTTCTTCCTCGCCTTCCTCCTTCTCTTCCTCCTCACCTTCTTCTGCAGGGGCTGCCTTGGCTTCTCCCGCTTTAGCAGCCTCAATGGTTTCCTCTATTTCAATCTGCTCCTCCTGGACGTGACTGGAGTAGTACGTGGGGAAGGTACGGGTTGTCATCAGGTAGGAGCTGGACTGCAGACCGCTGAAAGCAGACCTGCCAAAAGTCGGGGCAGTCTGGGTGTAGCCACTGGTGATGCTCCCAACACTGGTGAAACTGAGTCGGGTCTCCTCACCTTCCAGCAGTTTCCTAGCAGAAAAAGCAAACAGAAATTACTCACTTATGCTAAGCATTCAGCAGATTAAGCTACAGCCTAGGATACTATTGTGGTTTGAGCAGCACAAGCCCTAGGGACTGCAAAATATAGCCCTTAACAAATAATTATGTGGCACTGCTACCCTGTCTTCTTGGAATAATTTAAAAGTTTGGGGTATGTGTTACTGGGGAATTTATTTCCCCTAACAGTATTATAAGGAAAAAACCTCTAGGGTCAGGTTCCTATAGCAGGTGAACAGAGCCTGTATGGCTGCAGAGAACAATGCAGCTGTAACAATTTGATGCTACCTTTGGCTGTTAGACAAGGTTTACGGCCACTTTCTCAATATCCCCCCTTGTGGCATTCATAGAAATTCTGCTTCGGCATTTGACATTTCTAACAGCATCTGGGACAAAACACTGAACAGCTATTTAGCAGCAATTCTGCTGTAAAAAATTTGCTTCACAAGAGGTTGCTTCTGTGAGTTAGAAGCAAAGCCCATTCTTAAAAGCATGTAAGGAATCTCCAATTTTGAGAACACAGCCACCTGTATTAAGAAGTTCCACTGATACAAAATCTCTCCACTGTAAGTACAGAACAGGTATTTTTATCTGTAAAAACAGAGAACTGAGATCATTTATTGCTGAGCTAAGAGTTCTGTACGTGTACACATGCATACTGTTACACTCACTGGAGTCTGCTACACTGAAGACTTTGCTTTAAGCAAATATTTTGCCTCAAAAGCACTGCTTCTTCCAACAGCAAGGCAATGGAGAAGACCTGATTAAACTCTGATGTCTATCTATGAAAATTTCTGCTGGAGGAATGATAAATAAAATGAATGGGAAACTGATCCAAGTTCTGACTTACTAAAACATTTCCCCCATCATACCTATACGCTGCAATTTCGATGTCCAGGGCCATTTTCACGTTGAGCAGATCTTGATATTCCTTCAAGTACCGAGCCATTTCGCTCTTCGTGGTTCTCAGCTCGTTCTCCAATTTGTTGATTGTATCCTGTTGAAAGTAATAACATTCACAGCGTAAAATTCTTAGTTCTCCCATGTCTAGCAACAATACCTTGCGAGGAATTTCTCCAATCCTATTAACTTAATTCTGCTGTAGCAGACAGAAAACGAACAGGTCCAACTCCACCCTCAGCCAAAAAGGCACCATTTAGTAAATCCCACCTTCCCTGGCAGGGCTTTCCCACCCTTATATATATATATGTTATTACTTCATCCCTACTTAATGCTCAGAGTCCAATTTTCTGCTATCCAAGGATTAAAGCATGCATGAAATTTGTGTATCATTTCATTTTGGGTTTAGCCTCTATGCACTTTTTTTTAGTTTTAGCTTCAGGGTATCTTTTGTTATAATGATACAGTGTATAGATAAAGGATGTATTATGCATTACAGCTCTGGGGCATTTTGCATCACAATTTGATGATACCTTCTAGCTTAGACACATAGCATAGCTGCAGAATTCATGCCTAAGTGAGCAGCAAAGGGGTCTGCAGGACACCCCGGCCCCCCTCACCTGCAGGGCGGAGATGTCAGCGCTCTGCTTCTCTTCCAGCTCCTGCAGCTGCTTTTCCAGCGCCTCGTTCATGCCGCGGGTGGCCTCGATCTCCAGCGTCTTGGCCTTCAGCAGGCGGCGGCTCTCGGAGACCTCGTCCTTGGCGGCGCGGACGGCATCGGTGTTCTTGGCGGCGCTCTCGCTGAGGACGGTGAAGCGGCTGCGGAACCACTCCTCGGCGTTCTGCATGTTGC